CCTACACGAAGGGGACAGCCCCAGAAAGGTCTGCAGCCAACATCACGCCTTAGGAAGAGAATCTTCGAATTCTAAGAGCAGGAATAAGCCAAAGGTACCCTTCTCATCACTCATTTTCGACCCTGTACTGAAGTCCTAGGTAATGCAGTCATACACATGCACGCTCACACACACACGTGCACACACACGCTCACACACGCATGCACACCCACTCACACACACGCTCACTTACACACGCTCAGACATGCACGCTCACACACACATCCTCACATGCTCATGCACACACACGCTCACACACATGCACATGTTTACACACACACACACACACATGCATACAGAAATGGAAGAAGGAGAAAATTGTCTTTGTTCACAGATGATATGATCTCAATGTAGAAAACCCCAAAGAATCCAAAAACAGCTCCTGGAACTAAAAAAGCAGTTACACCAAGGTCGCAGAATGCAGGTTCGGTACGAAGTTAGTCACTTTACCAAACACCACTGAAAAGGTGGGATTTGAAATTACAAACACAACACCAGAGGATAGCAGGTGGCACGGTGGTTAAGACGCTGGTCTCCCCCAGGGCCGACTGTGGTTCAAGTCCTGGACCTGGTCATGCCCAGTGTGTGCATATGCCCAAAACCCCAAGAGGAGAACGGAGGAGGAGGGACTGAGGTCATCTCCCTTGAGGGGCGGTTTCTCACTTTCCCTCCGTCTGACTCTTTCAGGTGAGCACATGCACTCTATGGCAAAAAACTAAATAACAACAAAACCCTACTGCCACTGACATTAGCACTCGTCCCCAAAATAAGAGTGAATCAAACAAAATAGGAAACAAAACCACAAAACTCAGATGAAAGAAATAAAAGGAGAATTAATCAAATGGAGAGAGACACCATGACCGTGGACAGGAAGACAGCAGCGTCCAACGCCCATGTCCAAACTCGACCTGCAGATTAACGCAGCCCCAGTCAAAGCTCCAGCAAGTCCCAGTAACAATGTCAGCATGTGCTTGCGTGGCCAAAGTCCCAAGAGGACACTGGAGAAGGGACACCTATTAGAACAGCCAAAACCCTACGCACCAGTGACGGGGAAAGACCCACGACGGCCGGGCCCTGGGGGTGAGCAGGACAGGCAGGAAG